CATGAAACAAGCCAATATATGGTAGACATTATTATCCTGACTCATACTATTTCATTGCTATTGGGCATGTCTCCACATACAATTAACACACCTGGATTTTCTGCTTTCTGTTTACCCAGAGTAAGAAGCAATTTGTTGTCAAAGAACCACATATTTTTCCTTCATTAGGTGTGTAAGTGTTGCATAAGTGCCACTTAGATGGTAACATGCATAATTGTGCTTCTAATTCCCTGTTTTCAGAATTAAATTACATTTACAAGCATAGGTGAGCTACATGGCTATTCTGTAGCTGTATGTATTGATTGTGGATCCACTAAGCATGCTCCATCTTTGGAGGTGTGTATTTTCTGTGTACATTCTGAACAAAAAAAGTAAGAAATGCCATTTACTGGGTTACACCATTGGTCCATCTTGCTCAGTATCCCATGTTGTACCATGGCAGAGAGTGGATCCTGAAAGGGAGAGTGAGCAGTGTGTGACCAGGGTTTTTTCCATTGTTCCTCTCTCACTTGTAGCCTCCAGCATTTAATGTCTAGGAAGTTCTGATTCAGAGGCTATATCCCTAACTTCCATGCTCAGTAGCTACTGAGGCACATTTCCTTCAAGAATCTATCCAAACTCTTTTTTAATCTGGTTGAACTGTCAGCTTCTACAACATCTTGTGGCAATGAATACCACACTTTAGTTACGCACTGTGTAAAAAAGAACTTCCTTTTGTTAGCTTTAAATATGCTATCTACTAGTTTCATTTTGTGATCACTAACAGTGGGCAGACTGTAGGCAGGTCCCTTTAAGTGAAGCCTGGATTTGCCTTGTCAGTCAGAGCCTGCTGGGAAGTCTCCCTGCTTGGTTGTGCAGCCACAATGTGACTAGATACAAGGATGGTTTTCCCATCCATGGGCTGCATCCCTGAAGTACAGTAGAATCAGCTGAGCCTTGGGTATATAAACAGCCCCATTTTAAATGCTCTGCCATAATCACATATACATCAAGCAATGTTTCTGCTCTGAGCAGTCAGGCACTGTCAGGCAGCTTTCTGTTAGTGAGCAGCTCACTTTTGCATAACCTGGGGCTGTGGGTATAGGGGGCCTGTGGAGGCTTGTGCTCTCTAATGAGAGAGGCACATCTCTGGCAGTGTGCCCCACTCCTTGCTCTGCCCTAACCTTTCCTGAACTGGTGTGTTTCCTTTGGAATGTGGTGCCCCTCTCCCTCCTGGGACTCACCTGTGGAGAGTCTGGGCCACAACAGCTCTGGCTGTGCCCCCTATACTGCATATCCCTCAGGGTCGGCATGGCAGGGTGACCAAGAATGGTCCCCTTGAGCATAAGAGGATGCCCTGGAGGATGGTGGGTAGGACAAATGAAGGGACAAAGGGAGGTGTGTGCTGGAGAATAATAGGGAGTGTCTTACATGGGGTCCACAGGTTGTTGAAGGACAGGGATGCAGACAGCATTTGATGGCAGGTAGGTGTTCTTGTGAGGCATGCCATATGTGGGTGCTGGTGCAACTCTTGGCATGTTGAAAATGCGGCATGTGAAAGAGAACTTTGATCTTGCTTAAAGCAAGTTCAGGCTCTGTGCAGCCTTAGTGGTGGGCAGCTAGCCACGCAGGAGTCCATAGCTGCCCTCTCATTACCTCTATACGCTACCTGCCTGTCACCCTGTACTAATAATGGAGACATGCTACCTGGAGGATTTTAGAATCATGCCTACACAGTTTGGTCATTTATCTGTGATTTACACAAAAGCTACCCTTTGTGGGCCCAAAGCAACCAGATTCTACCTAATGTCTTCACAGTGGGGCTTCAAGGGACCATTTAAATGTGTTTATAGGCTGAGGCACGAGCTTCCAAAGAAAGACTGTTCACTATAAAAATATTGCTAGAAATGAATTGCTTTTGCCAGCAGTGGCAAAGATAAAGGATGGAAGAAGCTCAAATGTGTGTGAAGACTTATAATTAAAACAGGGACTCATTTATAATAACTTCCTGGTCTAAATGGCAACATACAGTTGACTAGGTTCACCTAAGAGGTTAATGGGGGGTGGGGGTAGATTTTAACTGATAATTTAAGTAAATAAAAAATATTCCATATTTTGCTTCATTTCCAAATATTATTCCAAAATAAATCCTTGTCAATTCTATTTATAGAAAACTTGCATCTAATAGATTTCAAGCTATGCTATTAGCTATATCAGAGGTGACAAACACCCTCCCATCTAGCTGGACCTAAACCACAGACCTCCCCATGGGCTGGATTTGGATCTGGTCGTTGGCCAAACAGCAGCGGTGGGGTGAGCAGAGGCAGTGGGGGTTAACACACCTCTTTCTCACCTCTTGCAGTCAATACTCCTTGCCCAATGGGGCTCTGTGCCCTGGATTTCAGTGGCAGGCCCTTCCCCTGAATCCGCAGTCCCTTTATCAGCCCTTCAGCCCATATGACATGGCTCCATAGGCTGGATCTGGCCCATGGACCATAAGTTTGACACCCTTAATCTAACTCAATGAAAGCTCTGTACAAAGAAAGAAGCCTGGTAATGATTTCTAGCACCCTTCCTTAACTGTACTACTGAATTCATCATTTATATTTCTTTCATCTCTAATCTGGATTTTGTTTTCTATTTTACCTTCTTTTACAGGGACAACTGATTGTCCAAATTCTTCTAGGTGCTGAATGCCTTGCAATACATGTTATCTTCAATCCCATATCATAGGAGTGGACCCTAGGCAAAGAGAGACTGACTACTGTAACCTTTTAAATACTGAAGCCATTTGAAACTACATGGGTAATTTAGGTAGACAGAACATAAAGGTGATATTTGCCAGGCTGCTCATCCTTGATCCTGTGAAAAGGGCCCTGGGATCTTTCTTTCAAGTGATCATACACTTTTTTTAATCTAATGTTAAAGTGATCACCTCCAGTGGCACAGTGTGAAACTGCTACAAGCTGAGACGGGTTACTGCTAATCACCAGCATCAATTTTTGGCAGCTTCTTGTTTAGGTATTGAACAGGCAAAATGCTGCATAGCTGATGAGACCACAGTCCCAAATGATATTGTTGAGGCCAAAATAATGGGAGAAAGAAAAATATAACTATAATGGGAAGCCAAAATAGTGGGAGAAAGAAAAATATGACTTGTAAATGCACAGTATTAAAAGAAAGAAAATGGCACTATACAAGTTTTAAAAAAGGCAGATGTCAGCTTAAGGCAGCTCAGTCAAAGTGAAACAGATGGTTTGTCATTCTGTAATGATATCAAAGAAGACAGCAGTAGGAAACAAATTATTGCCTAATAAGATCATGATTTATGCTTGGAAGCCTTCATATTCTACAGAATTTTGTTATCTCTTGCCTGATACCATAAAGGATATCCAGTAGACCTAGGTGCCCAGGGAATACTGTTTTGGGAGAAATTATGAACGTAAATGATCACGACTAGCTTGTTTTTTCAAGTTCAATTTTCTGCTTCAGGGACTGGTTCTAAGCCTACTGAAATCAACAAAGGTCTTTCCTTTGACTTTGGTGAACTTTTGGATAGAAATGTCTGTTGTTTTCAGCTCTTTGACTATGTGAAGTATAAAGAAGTCAAAGTTCAGTGTGGACCAAACAATCCATTGGGATACGGCGGGTAAGACATGCCAGTTCCTATAGCCAGCCTCATGAGAGAGTGATGTAGATAGCATCACATCCAGCTGCCTTTGACTACCCAGTCTGAAAGGCCAGGTACTGTACTTATTTACAGCCTTGAGCAACAGGAGGTATATAGCCCTCGTTGTCTCAATAGAAGAGTGAAGGGAGAGTGAACAGTGACTCATGTTGAATTGTGCCTCAGACAAACTCCTTGGAGGAAAAAAATTCCCCGGCTCATGAGATTAAAAATTTGCTACTGGCCTTTATGTGATATAGTTTATGTTCCCCTTGGTTCCCAGCAGCTTCACACGTGCATATGGATACAAAACCATCTCTTCTCATCTACTTGCTCACAGTGTGGGAGGAGCACTGGACCTGGAACTTTTGCCCTCATCTCTGTGCCTCGATCTGTAATCTAGGGAGTTTATATGCATGCCTGGAGTCAGAGTTCGTTCCAACAGTACAACTACAGTGTACAGACAGTGGCTGTTTTTAGACTGTGGTTAAGTCTATCCTTGGTTATCTACTTAGGCGGCCTGTAGAATTTATGTATCTACAGCGAATACATATTTTTGTTTAGAGCTGTATGGGAAACTTTCCCCATTTTTCCATGTTTTGATTTTTTTTAAAAGCCCTATTTCAAATAAGTTCAACATTTCAGCCAAAATCTGGAAAAAAAAATTAGGTCAGGTTAATTGAAATTTTTATGTAAACAATAATTAGCTGACGTTGACTTTTTTTGGTTTTTCTAAACTGCATAATCAGTGTTTATGAAAATGTCTACACAATGCATGTCAACAGTTTTGATACTTCTCTTTCAAAATAATTTTTGAGTAAGTAAAATTCAGTCGTTTCCCATGGACAGTTTTAGTTTTCAGTCTTTTCTAACAGAAAAGTTTTGCCATTTTGTCCCATTACTTCTACTTCTATTTTTTTAAATATATATTTTATTTTACTATGGTAATATATTTCTGCTCAGTTGAATGATTTTGACTTTTTGGTAGTTGATTATGAATGTCATCAATTCTGTCAATAGGATATTATAATACAATATTATAATTATAATAACAATATAATTTAAAATGGTGTGTGTATATATATATATATATATATATAACAGCTTGTCAAAAATCTCTTCCAACAATGCAGTTGGTCCAATAAATGATATCACCCACAAGCATCCTTGCCTGTCACATACATTAGTCCAATAAATATAGTCTAATAAGTGGACTGATTACAAATAAAAGTATGTCACACAGAAAAAAAAATTACACTTTTTCATCAAAAGCATGTAGTTCATTATGCATAAAATGTTATATAATAAGTATCATTTATTTTATGACAGTTTATTTATTTTTTACCTTCCCCAGGTACAAAGCAATTGTAAATCCCATGGATATCCAAGCATCCAGCGCTGTCCTGTGGACTTGTATTAAAGCTATTGCCATTTGGATCATCTCCATGCTGTTAGCAGTCCCTGAAGCAGTGTTCTCTGAATTGGCCATCATCAACGACACAGATAATGTCAGTTTCCTGGACTGCATACCATACCCCCAGACTGATGAGATGCACCCAAAGATCCACTCCGTTCTGATTTTCTTAGTGTATTTCCTTATCCCTCTTGCCATCATTAGTATCTACTACTATCACATTGCAAGGACCTTAATTAAGAGTGCACACAATATCCCTGGAGAACATAGTGAGCATTCCAAAAGACAGGTAAGTGAATTGCACTTTATTTTCCTCAGCGAGGGAGTGTCTGTTGTGTAAGTTTATAAATAAAACTGCAAAAGCTCTAACACCCACACTAAAGGTTTATGAAGACTTCAGCATTCCAACAGTCAGGCATTCAAATTAGTATTATTCAAAAATATCTGTCTTAAATCTTGATTTGCATCTGCTACTAATCTACATAACCTGCAAGTGAGTATTTTTACCTCATGTTATGTATGAAATGCAATGAAAAACAAGCAGCTGAAGACCATTTCTTTCTTTACTATTACATTTGTAGTTATCCATCAATGTTATCAATTGATGACATTACTTAGTATTTTAATGTAGTAAGATATTGGTGGGTGTATACATATATATTATGGGTTTAACCTCTACTTTCATGTTCGTTAAGAAATAACCGGGGCTCCTAGTAATAGCTTTACTAAAAAATGCAGTACCTCCCAAAGTACTTCATAGAAAAAACATAAACAGCCAGTTTTATACATGGTGTAATAATATTAGAAATCTCTAGTTTCAGAACTGATCCTGTAGAGGTGGTGGTAGGTAAATCTAAAATCAAAGGCTGACTTTAGCTGTTTTGATTTGCATGTGGCTGAAATCTCATAACAGCTTTTTTGTGAACAGAATAGTGGAAGCCTTGTTATTACACCTGATCTACTTACCCTGTGACTATTAAAATTAAAGAAAAACATCAGAAAAGATTACTGAATTTTGTGAAAATTCAATCTTTTTAGGAGTTTGGGAAAAGTTTAAGTATTTTCCCTTGTTTTGTCTGCGACCAAAAATTGAAGGACTGACATACTACAGAAAAGATTATCCTTCTGGACTGTCTAGTCCATCTTGAAACCAAAGGGCTCTGGAAGTGGGGCACATGTGCTCTGGAAGTGGGGACCTTTGATTAGACTGGGTCTGAGAGCTGCTTTAATTAAAGCACCTGGAGTATCTCATGTATCAACATCCCCGTGCTTCAAAATAGTGGCAGGGTGCTTTATCTAAAGCTCATTCAACAAGGCTTAGACAAAGAGCCCCCACTGTCATTTTGAAGTACAAGGACACTGTTACTTGAGACGTGGAGAAGCATGGTAATTACCATGCTCCAGCAGACTCAATCGCGTCTACTCTGGCATGCTGTAATTACAGCGCGTCAGAGCAGCCTCCACACTTGTGTATAGACACCCAAAGAGTGCTTGAAATCCCTTGAAAAAACTTGTAGAATTTTCCACCCATTTCTACAGTAAGTTGGCTTGTGGAAGGTGGTGTTTTCCTGGATAAAACTGCCAAAACTTTCCATGCTTATCATAATGCCAAGATAGTAATCACATCCATCTTAACATCTTCTACATTCTTTGATAAAGATTTTTGAGAAAGGGCATTTTAACCACTCACTCAAATCAATGTGACACAAAAGCAGACAGTAAGATAGTGAAAGACTACTCATCAGAACAAAAGACACAATAGTTTTACCGTTCTACAAAGATGAGGTAAAGTGTTTCAGGAATGTACAACTACTTTACAGAAATACTTAAATTGTTTAATAATAGACAGTGCTCACAAAAAGAAAAGGCAAGCTATTGCTGTCCACATTTTTGTGTGCATTTAGTCCTACTGAGAAGAATGGGCACAATCTTAATAATAAAAAAAACCCGTGTCCTTTTTCACTTAATACTTTTAATCTATTGTAGGATTTTCTTAAAGCAGAAATACATACTTATCAGCATGGATTATTTTCTTATCTCATCATTTGTGAAATGCGAAGAGACATTTAGCTGATCTTGCAGAATGGAAAAGTATAGCATATTCACATAATGTTGCTGAAACTACTAGAAAGTTTTTTTTTTAAATAGAGACACTATTTGTCAGTTTATTTTTCTAGTTTATCTATATGTTGAAAAATATAGGACATACCGTTTGTCAAAAAGATAGGATTTAGCTTTGTCCTATTAACCAGGTTTCTAATGAAAGATAAATGTATGTACAGGCTAGGTACAGATGTTCAGGGAGGCTAGGAGGAAGTTAAATCATGTTAAAAAAGACCACCCAATTGAATTTAGTTTGTCCAAGTGCAGACCTAACACTTAGATCCTTCGCTAGGTGGATCTAAGTGTGAACTGTACAGCAGTTCAGGAAGGTCAAATTAATTTAAAAATGGCCAACCCAATCTATGTTAACTGTACCTCAGAGGTAGACTAACATATATTGGGTCCCGTAAGACCGAACTTCTGTGCAGCATGGCCCTGGGGATGTGAAAGCCCAGCTGCTGGCCTAAGCCTGGGGACTGCACTGTTCCCACCCCTCCCAGGCACCAGGCTCTGTTTAGACCCCCAGGCCCTTGCCCCACTCCCAGATGAACAACTTCTCCCATGGACCATCCAGCCCTCCTGAGCCCGCCAATTCTCACCATCCTGCAAGCCACTCCCAGTTGTTGGCTTTACTGGCATCCACAAGTGCTGGGAGCCAAGGAAGCAATTTGGGGTGGGGAGAGGGGCAGGGAAGATGGAGGCGTTGTTTTGCTGGAGTGGGGGGGTTATTTGTCTGAGGGTGGAGGTGGTCACGTGGGGAGAGAGAACTCCCCATCCTGCCAAACCTCCCCTGCAGAGCCACCAGCCCAGACCAATCCTTCTGCTCTTCCCCTGACCCTGACTTACTTCACTCAGGCTCTTCAGACTGGTGAAAGCCAGTAAAACCAACCAGGAGAGCCTGGCAGAATCAGGACCAGTTTGGCAGGGGCTGGGAAGGTCCCAGGGGTGGGGGAGGTAGTAGGATAGGAGAGACTTTCCAATACTGCAGCCCTCCCTGATTCCTCCCAAGCCTCTCCACAGACCATGCTTTTCCTGCAAAACCCTAGTGGACCCCACCAACACCACTGTGGACCCTGCTGGTCCCCCCAGTCCCTGCTACCCCCTCTCCCATCCTAAATAACTTTACATTGAGTGGCTGTTTTTAACTCAATCTAACCTCCTGACTTTCCCAAATGTATGTACATACCTTCATATTGCATATTTAAGTTTTCATTGCAATTTATACTAATGTGTATAAAGAGGGTGAAAAATCCCATGGAATCAAAATGGCAGTTTTAAACAGTTTCTATTCATTACACAAATATAAATTGTTACATAAAGTAGAAAGCAATGCTGAGTCAGGAGCAACTGACTCAGGATTATGGCAACTCCATAATCCTACAGAAACCATCTTTCCTGATAAAATCTTTATGGAAGAAGAAAACAGCAATATTATGTTTACATGATTAAGGCTTTACTCATCAGATTATTGATGCCTGTAATTTACTAGTCATTTTCCAAACCAACCAAGCATTGAGATTTGGTTAAAAGGAATACGTTTCACTAGCTTACTTGGTGGGTGTTTTTGGGCCAGTATATACTTAAAATATGATTTAATCCTGAGACATTTATGTGTGTAATAAACCAATATAGTGTAAATACAAGCACCTGAGGATTGGTTAATGCAAGTAAACTGTCCATGAAAAATGAAAGTAAATGAGATGGAAAAGGTAATTGAGCCTTGAAGGAAGGGCTGATCTTATTTGAGTTAATTGTTAGAGTTAATATAAAGTGGTATCTGCTACGTGTTTTAATTAAGTCAGTTATGTGGATTAAGTCTATTCAGAGTTGTTCATTTGGGTTCTGTTCATTTATCTTTTTAGATGGAAACTCGAAAGCGCCTGGCAAAAATAGTCCTGGTCTTTGTTGGCTTTTTTGCTATTTGTTGGTTTCCTAACCATGTGCTATACATGTACCGGTCCTTCAATTACAATAAGATTGACTCATCACTAGGACATATGATCATTACTTTAGTGGCCAGAGTACTCAGCTTCTGCAACTCCTGTGTCAACCCCTTTGCACTGTATTTGCTCAGTGAGAGTTTTAGGAGACATTTCAACAGCCAGCTTTGCTGTGAGAGGAAGTCTCATCAAGAGAGATCTACCAGTTACCTGCTTAGCTCCTCTGCCATTCGGATGACTTCTCTAAAAAGCAATGCCAGGAACACAGTGACCACCATGACTCTGCTGAATGGGCACAACCTGAAACAAGACGTGTCATTATGATTTAATCAGTGTACTACTTGATCTGGAAATTCATTTGAGCTTTTATCTTACAGCCATGCAAATAGTTTCAGGTTCTCTCATCTGTCTAACAATGATTGATTTAAAGTATCGAATAAAGTCTTTTTATTTGAGACTACCTCTCATGTTAAAATCTAATTACTTTCACTTAAGAAAGACATTTCTGAATGAGAAGAGGAAAATGACTTTAAAGAATGTTCCTGTACATTTGGCATGTCAGAGATCTGTTTTGAATAGTAGTATAGCTGAACTGGTGTTACTTAAAGAAAAATATTGATCCCTGAACTAAATAATTTATGCCTTTTTAATGTTGCTGATTACTCACGGTGGTCTGAACAAATTAAGAACCAACTCCAATGTCACAGGTTCTAGATTCAGAAGGGAAATCAAAATTTGCAGGCCCAGCTTATGTAAATCTGCATAGTTCTGTCAACTTTATGATGTCTAAAACAATGTATACGTTGAAGTTCAAGTCCTTTTCAGATATGGTTAACCATCAGGAATGCTGCATTACATTTGTTTATATATATTTGTATGACTATAATATCAGATCTATCCATCTATCTGATATTATAGTCATACAAATCGATCAAAAATCTCTACTGAGTTTGTGATTGTTGCTTACATTTAATTAGAATTTTTAAAATGACATTTTCATTGAAAATTAATTTTGTGAAACTCAAATGTTTTACAGAACTCAACATTTAAAAATAAAATTCTATCATTTTGTGAGGCCTGTAACACCACTGGCTTCTCTATAGTGTCTATTGCATATTAAACTTCAGTTACAATTTGCTTCTGCTAAGTGCCTTCATTTACCTCACTCCCAAGGCTGGAAACAATCACCATGTTTCATGGAAATTTGAAAGTAAAATTAGGCAAAATTATTGGTAATATTTTCAAATCTGGCCCACAGTCAAGACTAGTAGGTGCTGCTGTAATATAAATAGTAAATAGTAACACAAATATTGCATGAAGACTTAGGAGCCATTGATGTGGGGCTTAAAATGTAACTACAGTAAAAGCTGTTATCCGCAATGAGTGGGGTAAGGAGGGTGCTGGTTATCTAAAAATTCTGGTTATCTGAGAGTTATACTATCAAGGAATACAGTGCCATACTTGTAGTGTAAATTTTCAAAGAATTAGTGTACAATACATTACAGTATAACATACTGTATAAAGAAGAAAATAGTATACAGGTATTCACCAATCAAGCAGTAGTAAAGCAGCACTGGAATGAAAAGAAATCCTGAAGCAGTGATGTAGAGTACACTAAAGTTACATGTAGTACACTATTGGCAGTGCATGGCGTACACCTAGATCACTTAAAAGTACAGTACACTTAACACTACACTTATAACTAAACTTATAACACTTATAGCTAAAACTATTTACATGTACTGTACTGTACATAATTTACTGCCTCTTTGGAGATTCAGTCCCAGCGCTGGAAATTCCAGTTAGTAGAGTATTTTGGTTAGTAATGTGCCGGATAACAGAGCTTTTACTGTATCCTGTTAAGAGTCAGTAGGTGCACTACACGTGCGATTAGTGAGATTCAATAAACTCCAGAGCAGTTTGCACTGGAGTCAGCTGCTCCTGCGCAAAGCATCTTCATGTGTATCCAGGACTGCAGCAGTTAGAGCCAGGGCAGAGAAACCCTGGGCTAGCAGGGGACTTAGGGCATCAACCCCAGGCTCCAGGTGGCAGTGTCAGGTGACGGAGGGGTGGCTGGGGCTTGAGGATGTTAAAGCGTGGGGCTGGGTGGCAGGCAGCCCCCACACTTTAGCACCTTTGTGCCCAAGCCAGCCCTAGTCACTGTCTATGTTAGCGTTTTGGTGAAATTAATCTACCTTGCTCTAATATTTTTTAATTAACTTTAATCTCTTACAATGAAGTAAAATGTACTTTTAGATTTAGCTATTTGTTTTAAATGACCAGAAGCCAGCTCTTAGTGTACAGTAGAGAAAATAATAACTTGCTGCTAATTAAAACCAAGTTTCATAGAGCAATGAACAAAGGTCTAATATGTCCCTGTTTTAATTCTGCCTCTTTTAAGACAGCTATTTGACATTTAGCATCATTGTAGAACAAAAAGAAGAAAATTGCTGTGAGGACCTGAGGAACAGTCTTTTGTTCAGATACCCAGAGAAATGTAACACTACCTCTCTTTAAATTAGCATATTATTGCATTGCATTGCATGATGATTTGGGTACTGATTTTAAGCACACTGGTAACTTTAACCACATGACTAGTCTTAATATGATATGATGGATTAAGATTATACACTTACATTGGAGGGAAAATACATTTACCCCATGAGAGAATGAAGAGGCAAGTTGTATCCTACTGTCACTTCGGGGTTTAACACGTTAGAGTACTGCTTCTCAAACTTTTCCTCAGCATGACTCCATTTATGGCCCCACTTCCGCAGCATGACCCCATTTCTTTAGCATGGTCCCTCACTCCCAATGCCCCCCGCTCCACCCCCACTGAGCCCTGCGACTTCATCCATTGATGCTGCAGCCCGATTTAGGGTTAGGGTGGCTATCATACAGGACAGTCTGGTTGTCCTCTGTCCTCTATTGATACAAAACTGGACACCTTTATGTCCTCTATTTTTCTCATGAAGAGAAAAATAGAGGACATAAAGGCGTCAGGTTTTGTATCAATAGAGGACAGAGTAGCAGAAAGCTGGAATGTCCTCTATGATGGCCACCCTATTTAGGGTCACAACCCACAGTCTGTGGGCCACAGTTTGGGAACTGCTGCTCTAGAGACAGTAAGCTTCAGTATAATCATAAGACTGGCATTATATATAGAAAAGATTGCATTGAAAGCTGCACTTAATTAGCTAGAGAGGGATTGGAGTTTCAGGTAGAATGAGAGAAGGGGGAAAAAAAGAAAGAATCTGAACCTAGTGCCTTCAATCCAAATATCATCCAGTTCCATAAATGTTAAAATTTATAGCTCAGTTGTGAGGTAGATATAGTTATACCAATCAGAGGTACAGCAGGGCAGCTCTGCAACTGGAGCAGCCATAACACATAGGGCAATGTGTGCTGCCACCATGCCAATTTTGGTGGTACTATCAGTTGCCATTGACAATTTTTGTGCCCCCCATGAAAGTAGAGACTGGGGCTGTTTTCCCAGACACCTCTCTCCCCCCACCCCAGCTTAGTTACACTACTGATATCCATTATTCAAATTGATAAACTTGTCAGACTTGGTGAAACTGTGATTTAATGGCAACATCAGAAATGCCTCTCAGATTCTAGAGTGCTTTTTTGGGAAGTATGTGATTTTGTCAATACCGGATTACTTGAATTACTGAACCAGAGAAATTCTGGCATAGAATGAATGGTCTCCACTCTTATCTAACACAGAACAAGCAGCATATCACATAATAGTTCATATCCATTCTCCTATAACCTCTGCAACTCTTTCTTCATTTTCTTCCTTTCCAGCTAGTTCCCTCTGTTGCCTTCTGTTGACATTCCTCTATTTTGTCCTTTTCTTGTCTTATTCCACTCATTATCCCAGGGTGACTTCATGTGCTCTCACATTTTCTCTTACCACTTTTGTTCTCAATACACCCAGAATGCCAACTCCACCCCTGACTTCTCCCCATCAGTTTAGTCTCACACCCCTGCTTGACCCTTTTTTTGCCCCATAATATGAATGATGAGTCATCTCTGAACTTGGCCATCTTTCTCTTTGATTATCTCACCTTTGCCTCCCTGTTCTTCAGCTAGGTTTGGCAGACTCCTTGCACAGCAAAGTGCCTCAGAATGTTGTATTAATCCATACCAACACTTTGCTGGTGATTACCTGATGATACCAATGTCCCACTCTGAAAAAATATCCTGCTTTATAATAGATTACTTGCTGTTTACATTTCACTTGTGTTCAATTTCAAGTTACTGTTTTAAATTGCTTTGTGTGACACAGACAGCATGAGCCTTGCTTCCTGGCAGAACTCCCCAAGCTACTTACCCTGGCAGTTTCAGTTGTGTGGAGAACAACACTGGGATAGCAGATAGGTCCTTATTGACAGGGAACCAATATATCTTCAGTTCATGTTTCTCAGACTTCACCATCAAAGCTTGACTTGAGTAAACCAGCTGGTTTGCCTGGGCTATGCTCTTTATGTAGTTTGGTAGCATAATGTTGATGAATTTCTTAACTTCCTTGGAGCTTTTCTAGGTATTTTCTATCACAAGATGCATTCCTCAAAACATTTTGAATGTCTCTCTTGCTATGGCTCAATTAGCTTTTTGTATATGTACAAATTATTTGTATAGTGCTATCTGCAGATGGATCTGTGTTGTAAGAATTAAAATGGTCATTATGGAACACTGTCTACTGAGTATTCTGTTCTAAGAGTGAAGTCAAAAAAGGTGACATGAGGCTGTATTTATTGTCAGTAAAATGTCTGAGGTATTACCTTGATGCCAATGTGAAAACACCTAACAAAGAGCATCTATACAAATACAATTTTCCATAGTGGAAACATTTTTTTTCTTTTTCAGAAAGACTACTTCTTTCTGTCCTCAGCAGAGATTAGTGGTGGTTTCTTTCAATCATATTGCTGGAACTCTTGTGAAAACCACCTCCATTTCATTGACTCTGAGAAGTGACTGTACAGAGTTAATTACTGTTCTCTCTATGGAAGATACTTTCTCCGCTACAGTGGAGCATGTAGGTGTTACAGCACCAGGTGACCCCTTGTGTCACTAATGGACACAACGTAATTCTGAATCTTTTGAACTTTGCAATGTCAGTATTACAGATTTTTCCAGAATAACATCAGACATCAGGCCCTCTGTTTAATCTTGTGCTTGCTTCATAGGGTTATTTGCTCTATGACAAATATCAGTGCTGAGACAATGTAAAGAGATTATAATGCTTTTCAGGTCCAATTGAGGCCAAATTATCATTTTCCAAACTCCTTGGGAATCTATTGCAAACCAAATGGAGG